GCCACGACGTTATAAAATGTCGTAGTGGGTCTCACTTTTTGTGCGTATTCCTCGTTAAGTTGTAAAACATTTTCATCCATTTTCCCCCGAATTTCCGGCGGTGGTAATTTAATGTCACGTGTATATGAAACCCAGCATGTTTTCTTAACATCCGAGTTTGACGAGGAAATAATTTTGCTCCCGCGTTAAACTATAACAGCTGACTAGGTCAATCCATTGCGCCTACACATTCCACAACAGTTGCCCCGTGTATGTTATTATATGTACATGGTATCAATGACCAGGATTTTAAATAAAATAAAAACTCCTATTAAAATCAATATAGAGCGCTCTTTAAAAATGATTATTCTGGCGAAACGGTGATAAAAATAAGTTGTCCCCAAGTATAGTATCGCTGACCTTGGAAGAGGTCGTTAGATTAAACAAAAATTGTGTTATCTTTCGCAGAGAGTAGATATTTTTATACTTGACGGGAGACAGGAATTTCCTTATGAAAGGAAAAATTCAGTGAATTAAAATAAGTTACAACTATTGATTGTCTTTAAATAATTCAGAAAAAATTGATTTTATTTGGATTTTACATTACAAACACCGATTGAAGATTGTATGTAAAGAGAATTTTAAAAGATAAGAGAATATTTTTTCCTCATTAATTTTACATTCCGTGTGCAAGGCCTTGGGTTCTTCAATTGATATGGAATTCCTCTTGTTCTCTTTTGTTCAATTTTATGAAAACAAATGACTGCGTTGATCAAATTTTTATATGTATTTTATTCGGAGGATATTAATTTAGAATTTAATGGAAAAATTCCGTAAATAATAGAGTAACTTTTCTAAATTTCAGACTTTTAAAATAAGGACGCAAGCTAGGTCAGGAATTGCTACTCAAAGTTGTAACGTCAAAACGACGTCATTTTTTTAACTTCTTACGTGCAGTGTTTAAATATGTATTTTTTGAATAATTTATCGCATTGTAGTAATTATAGTAATTTATTGACAGAACCTTAAGTAAATGTACGATACGTGAATAAATTGATAGGAAATACACATTGACGTACAACCCCAAATCATGCCTTCTAAGAACGTCTGTCATTTTAACCAGTTGTGGGACATTTCCGCAAGGCATTTCGATTCTTAAGTATTTTTTTTTATTCACCGATAAGATCTGATGAAACCTATATGTATCAAAAGTATTTTTTCAGTACTTTTCACTGATAAAAATTTGAATAATTTTTGCCTCTTGAATTCGGAATAAATCAATAAAATTTTAACTTACATATATATATATATGACATGACGTCATCGCAGCGGGACATGTCTGCAGAACACGGATGTTGTTTGATTACATACCTTAAAGCATGGACATTTTTCATCATTTCTTTCGACCAAATAGTTGTATAAAAGTACCCAGTGTATGTCAAATCAAATTTGTAAATTTACTGACAAATTATTTTTCCCCCTGGAAAATAAGCTACACTAGATTTTAATTGAATGGGACATCTTTTCAGACAATTATTTTAAAGGATGCGAGTTTATTACATTTTCAACAGTGAAATACTCTAATTTATCCATTGAAATAATAAAAGTGATATCCTGTCACAGTGTGAAAGGATATCAAAATGATATCCTGTCACGGTATGTCAAAGAGCAGGAAAATTCTCGAACCAAAAGTGTTGTAAAAACACTCCTTAGCATGTTATAAGATAGAAAACGCATTTATAAATCATTTTGTCATAAAATAAAACTGCGAAAGTTCCCCAAATATGTTGCTGATATTCATGTTTACAATGTTTTTCACTTAGCTATGACGTCTAAACCGCTCAACTATGACGTCATGTACCTAAGACTGCATTATAAAAAACACGCAGGCAACGGGAAAATCATAGACAATGTAATAAACAGAAAATTCAATGTTTTGTAGTTGAATATGGAATTTATTTCACTCGTGAGACAGGATTTTTTTATATTTTCAAAATATCAAAAAATCCTGTCCCACTCGTGAAATAAATTCCATATTCAACAACAAAACATTGAATATCCTCTACATCCATTCTCTTAACAGAGGTTGTCAACAAAAAATGTTATGTCTAACTATGATGTAAGAGAACGATTCTGTAAAGTATCTCAGAGATAAGAACAGATTTGCCAATCTTTTTCGAGAATAAACTCTATATTTTTCTGTTACTATGGGACAAGACAAAAGTGGACGTCATTCTTGAATGTAATTGTCTGCCAAAGTGTATATATCTCAGTTGATTTGATACGCAAGAGCATGCTCTACATGTACGTATGAACAATTTCTGAAACGATGTAAATTATTGACAAGCAAGTTGATGAAACAAGAATATCAACAGTCTCGTTTAAAGTCATCATTTCTTAAGTTCTATGGTCGATACAATGACCTTGTCAGCAAATACAATTTATCATTGAGTCAAATGCTGACTGACGTTTTTCATACCAATTGGTAGTCCATTATTTATACACTGAATTGACGACAGATTTTTCCGTTATTTCCTGATCGTGACAAGGAGCACAAGGCGGGTGTGACCGGTCAGCAGGGGATGCTCACTCCTTCATGGCACCTGATCCAACCTCTAATGTTTCGGAGGTCCGTGTTTGCTCTGCTCTTATTTTGTATTGTTTTATGGACTTTGAGATTGAATACTGTTCGTTATCTCCATATCCTTCTTGGAATAATACTTCTTTTTGTTAAAATATTATTGGTGAGAAAGAACCTTTTCTTTTCATATATACAACTACATGTTTATTATTAAGACTGTACTAGAAATTAATGCTGAAAACTGATTAAACGTATAATTTCTTATTAGATGCAATTACTGACGTTACGTCAAGACATAAATAAATATTTTCCCACATTTAAAGTAAATTTATTATTTTTGATGAAGAGTAAAATACTAGTTTATTCCCGTGTCTTAAAAATATACATCGATTTTTCGAGTAAATTTGTTAATAAAATTATTTTAAATAAAAATGTAAATTGCATTTACTTCTAAATAATTGTAGGAAACTTAAAAAAAATATTTATTCCTGCAGGGAAATATATTAAAAGGTTGATATATTAAATAATGCTTTGAAGATCATATAGATGCGATCGAGGTTTAAAATTACTATAAATCGATAATTACTTTTATTTATTTACTGAAACACAGGATGACGGCCCCTGGAAGAAAACTGAACATTGTGCAAGCAAATAGATGATAAGATCGGTTTTGTTTAAATATTTGTATATTCATTTTCCGATTGATTGGATGATTGTGTATTGTTTAACGTAACTTTTGAGAATTTTTCTTTCATATGGAGACGCCACCACTTGCAGGTGGAGAACCACAAATTTTGTCCTATACTCGGCACTTAGGGCCATTGAGAAGTGAGGAATCTCTTTGCCAGCACTTACTGCTACACTGGACCTCGGTTTATACGGTCTCACCCGAAGGGCCGGTCTCCACGTTCCACAGTGGGATTCGAACCCGCGACAAAAGGATCGACTCCTTACTTAGCGACGCTAACCAATGCTCCCCGCGAGCGACTTCATGTTTCGAAAATCAGGCATTGAACATTTCAAAATGCTCACAAATTCAAAGGATTATGTATTTTACCACTGTGACGTTATTTCTTTCAACTTTATCAATGAATAATTGTAAAAATCATAGAGGGTTGTACGTAAATTTCAAATAAAATTTTTAGAATATGCCAATAAAAACACGTACTATCATGCGTTTTCTAACTAAATATTGACCAAGAAATATATTTTTTGGATAAAAGAAAACTGTAGATATTTATGCATTTGAAGAAAATTGCATGATTTGTGTACTTGTCCATTACTTAAAATTCTTTTATCTAATTTAATCAATTATCTAATGATGCAAAGTGTATAATGTATTTAATCTACTACCATTGCTATTTTCAATAAATCACTTTAAATCAAATTTTCTTATCAAACAAATTATCATATTATACTAATTAACATTGGTATCAAAATGGATAAAGATGTAAAGAATAAAAGATAAAAGAAAAAAAAGGAAAGAAATCTTAAGCAAAGTACTATGTCTGTCAGCAAAATTCATAGTTACATAAACACATTAATTGGAATATTTTTTACAGCTGCTATAGCAGTTCTTTGAGAAAAAAAACTTTATATTATGTACATGTACTTGTTTGAAGTTGTAGCCTAAAATAGGTTTTTTTCCCGTATTACTATCTCTTATTTATTGGAAGAAAAGAGATAAGTAGTGCTTAATGATTCACATCTTTAAATTTCTTCCTGGTTGCTAAAACATGAACACATACCCAGCCATTGTCATAAAATTGTTCCACTTCAAGGATAACTTACTTTTATTATTTTTAATAAATTTGAGTGCAGACTTTCCTCGATATAAATGTGGAATTTGACACATCAAAGGTCTCCTTTCATTCGATATATTTTTCCATTGTTGGCTCGGCACCAAATAATAATAAATCAATCAAAATCATGATTACTTAGAATCTCGTTACGGAAGCCAGAAGGGGACAAAACAAGTTTTTTTTTTCAAACCGAAGAATATATACATCCATTTTTGACAATTTTTTTTCAAAATCTTTAATTTTTAAGAAATACTTTTTACAAGAAAGCTAAGGATGATTTTAATAATTTAGATATGTGAAAATATGGAAAATGAAATTATAACAGAACAGTTATACTCTCATGGTTAGAGATACTTTTGACAAACACTATATTTGTGCGATCAAAATATATAGTATACATGAGGTTACAAATGTCAGTAAGACATTTCAATATTCAGATAGACTAATAAACAAGACTAAATAAAATATGTGTTTTATTGCCAAAAATTATCTAATAGATTAAATACATTAATACACTTAATATATTTTTTTTTACATTTTTATTACATAAAATTTATAACACGAAAATATAGAAATGTTTACAGAGAAAAGAAAAATTGATTTTTCATACCCCTATTTCTTTCATCGGAATTCAACTCTTTATTTGTGACATTTCATACCGAAAATGAGTATCGTCTGATACTACCACCGCAACAAAATTTCTGGAGTTCATTCCTAAATTTGATGTCATAGAACCAGTATATGTAGGGATTAGCAATGTGATTCAGAAGGTTAAAACGCAAACAGAAAAAATAAATATTTAAATGGTACCCTTTTAGTTCTATTCTAGTTGCGAAACTGTGGACCTGAGTAATGAGTGACGTCAGATACGAAACTACGTAGACAATTATGATGACGAGGAACATGACACTGATCTTTTTGCGCGCTTTTTGTTCCCGATTTTTGTCGATCGTTGACGTGTTTTGGGATGCAAAATAGGACCTTCTAACATCGTTTTGTGGAAACTCTACCATTGCAATTTTCTCAACTGTGGAACTCTGTGTTTCTTTTGAGGTGATATTAGTATCTACGTCCACAACAGTACTTGTTCGGTTTCGTCTGGTAGGCGACAGTGTTCTATAAATAGTTTTAGTCACAGGAATGTACAAAGCGGTGGTGACGAAAATATTGATGAAAGAAAGAAGAAGCAAAAACCCAAAGTAGGGAACCATAACACCCGTTCCATTTGTTCCGTCATCGGAATGACAGACAAGTACAGAGATGTTCCGAGTGACATTCAGTGAGTCATCTTCAACAGTTGTGCGATAAAATCCACCAAATTTCAAAACGGGAGATGCATAACCGACCGAAAACAGAAAAATCACCAAGATGGTGATTCTGCAGGATTTCCTAGACATCTGTTGACTAAAGGGACGACAAATTATTAGGTATCTCTGTAAAGCAATGGCAAGGATCAGGTGAGCCGAAAATCCCCCGGTCAGTATCATTGAAAAATATAGAGATTTGCACAAGTATACATCAGGGTAGCTGTAACGCTTGGTGTTGTCCAGGTGAAATTGAGTCACATTCGAAACACATCCGATAAAATCGATAAAAGCCAAAATAGGAATGAAATACCGGGTACCTGTTTTGTCCTGAATGTATTTAGTGTACATCAAAAGAACAAGAGAGTTTCCGAATATTCCAAATGCTGCTTCGATAAGGTGTACCATAGTGTTAGGAAGGAGTTGTTCCGAGTATTTATCTGACAAAATTTCTGCATCGGCCATATTCACGAGAGAAGTCAATAAAACTCACTGTAAATATCAGTAACTGTATCATCCAAAGGAAACTGTAGCTTTTACTAAAGATGTAAAGATTTGGAAAACGGCTACTGAGAATAAACACATTACACCATTTATAGAAATTGTTGTGAAAAGATACCAGAAGTAGCTGGTAGTTATAAGGAAATATGTACTCCAAGTCACTGGAGTGCCTCTAAAATAAAAAAAATTGTCATAAAGGAGGTAAGAAATAGCACGAATACAACTAATAGAGTAGTTGCACATCATAAACATTTATATTGTGACGAGAGAAATATTATCCAGTACTACGGGTGGTTGAAAAAAACTTTAGAAACAACGTATATGGCTTTTTGCTTAGACATCTAATACCAGGTTACTAAACCCAATTCTTGGGGTCTTTGTTTTATCCTGTGTAGGCGCGATTTGTCTGGATTTATCTTTTATAATGTTCATATTATTTTGAATTAGCTGGATTTATAATTTTGGAAGGAAGGTATTTCCGAGTTTCATTTGCTGTCCGTGAACTTTTTCGAATTCCTTATAAGACGTACTCACTTTTGTATTTTTAGCTCTACTGGTCAGAGATCAGAAGAGTTTATGGGATAGTAATGCGTCCGGCGTCCGTCCGTCTGTCTGTCTGTAAACAATTTTGCAAAATGCTACTCCTTCTACAGTTTTGGTTCGATTTCAATATAACTTGGCATACAAGTAGACTCTACTAAGATACATAATTCTGTGCATCAGTTTTTGATTACAAAGAACGGTGTTGCAGTGGTTACTAAAAATATTAATTTCTGTGAGATGCTTTTAAAATGCTACTTCTACAGTTTTGGTCGGATTTCAATATAACTTGACACACAAGTAGACTATCTTAAGATACTAGTACACAATTCTGTGCATCGGTTTTTGATTTTGATGAACAGTGTTGCTGTGGTTACTAAAAATATAAATTTCTGTGAAATGCTTTCAAAATGCTACTCCTCCTACATTTTTTGTATGATTTCAATGTAACTTGGCACACAAGTAGACTATACTAAGATACATAGGTCTGTGCATCGGATTTTGATTTCCATGAACGGTGTTGCCGTGGTTACTAAAAACAGAATTTTCTGCTAAATGATTTAAAAATGCTATCACAAATATATTTTTAGTTTGATTATGATATAATGTGTCATGCAGATAGACTACACTAAGATACATTATTGTCTTTATTTTTTTTAACAATTTATTTCGATGAATGATGTTGCCATGGTATAACTATAATTGAAAATTCTTTAAAAAATATATTGAAAGTTACTCCTACAGCTGTAGTCTTATTGCAGTATTGCCACCAATGACTTTATCAACTTGAAGAATAACTATTCTATTTCATATTGCTGTTGTAAAGATTCAAGTCCAAACTGCAACTTTTCTCTTCCTTTGTTATAAGTATAAACCAGTAGAGCTACAGTCTCGACAGAGATTTCTGGTTGATACAATGGCGGAAAAAAAACTGAAAAAAATCCGCACTATAATTTCCAACTTATAAAAGCCGGACTTTTAAAATTTCTTTAAAACAAGTTCTTCCAAGCAAGGCATTTAAAAACCTTGACTCGGCAATATCACATATCACTTTGCTCTTAATTGGACCCATTACAAGGCTTCCCGATCTTTTCATCTGAAACACATTAAAGCCTACTTTTATGAACCTTTTTCATAATTAAAAGCAGAGAAAATTCGAACGCCTTTACTGCATGATGTCAATTAAGGCATCCGAGCCATAAAAGGACAAAATTTTCTAACCTTAGATAGCCATTCTGTAGATTAAATAATATTAAACTATTTCAAAGCAGTTAAGAGTAGCAAAGGATTTACCATGAGAATTTATTCAAAAATATAATTACCCAAGCAGTAATTAATTGATTAAGTATGCATTGAGGTCTATGGGAACAAGCAATTTTTTATCAATATAAAAATTATCAAGCATACAAAAATGATTAAAAAATGATTTTTAACCGGATAAATTTTTTTACAATGAATTTTATTGATTACAAGCAAAGGATGATAACTCTTCAAGGAAGGTCAAGGTCAATAATTAGGACACATTCCAAACTTTTATGTTGAGACTTAAACATGAAGATTATGTCTCCATATACTGAGTATTCAGCCAATATATAGCAGTTATGCATTCAGATTCATTGAATCTGGGGCTGTTATAGATAGGATACCTTAATTCTCAACAACTAGGTTTATGGTTAACTCATACAAAGATTTGATTTTTGATGAAAAAAAAATTTCAAGAACATTTTAATATTACAATATTTGTGAATGAGATGTCTTTCTTTCTTAAAAGAGAAAGCTGTACGTTTAAGTAAAAAAAACCCCAGACTTCTATGGATTTACAGTTTGATTTATTTTGCTAAATTTTGAAATATACATTAAACAATGAACATAGGATAAAGCACGTATAAATGTAATACAAAATGATTTGAACGAATATAATTTTTACATAACATCAGATGTATTTAAATACAGATATTGACGTTATGAATTCCTCCCGTTATATTATGAGACACCAAATTTACAAAGAAAACGAATGTCTTCTGAAAAATTTCTCGCAGCAAAACTTCCGAAGTTCATTTTTGAATTTGTTGTCAAATAACCAGTAAATATATGGATTAGCAATGTGATTCAAAATGTTAAAACGCAGGCAAAAATCGAAAACATTTAACTTGAATCCTCTCAGGTCTATTTCTGGGTCTACGAAGGTGTAGACTTGTGTAACAAGTGACGTAAGATACGAAACTACGTAGACAATTATGATGACGAGGAACATGACGCTGATATTCCTCCGCGCTCTTTGTTCCCGGTTTCCATCCGTTGTTAAGGTGTTCGATGGTTTACTTTTAGGAGATTGCACAATGTTTTGTGTTAAATCCGCCTTTGTAATTTTGTCGGAACTAAGATCCTGTGTTTCTTTAGATGAGATATCGGTGTTGTCTTCCGGGATTCTACTTACTCGATTCCGTTTGGGAGTGGACTGTGTATTATAGATGATCTTGATCACTGGAATGTACAGAGCGAAAGTGACAATGATATTGATAAAAGAAAGAAGGAGAAAAGTTCCAAAATACGGAATCAGTACACTGTTGTCGTTAGTTCCATCATCGAAAGTACACCGTGTTACCGAAAAGGGTTCCTGTATTCTGCTGAATTTCACAATTGGAGCAGAATATCCAACTGATATTAGAAATATAATCAATATAGCAATTTTGCAAGATTTTGTTGACATTTGCGGAACAAACGGACGACAAATGATTAAATACCTCTGTAACGCTATCACCAAAATCAAGTGCGCTGAAATACCCCCCGCCAGTATGATTAGAAAGCTAAATATTTTACACAAAATATCACTAGGGTGATGCATGGTGTTGTCAATGTGATATTGAATCACATTTGAAATACAACCTACAAGATCCACAATTGCCAGAATAGGAATGAAAAACCGAGAAGCCGTCTTGTCCTGTACATATCTAGAGTACACCAAAATAACTAGAGAGTTTCCGAATATCCCAAGAACAACAGCAAAAAATTGTGCGATTGTATTGGGAAGCAATTGATCCGAATATTGCTCAGAGAAATTTCGTGCAGACTCCATCGTCACATTTGTCTTAAAAAAAACCCCGTTTTTATGTGAATTTTATTCTTCGCTTTGACTTAAGGAATTACTTTATGTGATACAAAGGAGAATACAGACTACTTGTCTTAATTTAGAATAAACGAATGACAGGCTTCAATCAGAAGTATTACAAAGGACTAAGGCCTTGGAATGAGAGGATTCTTTATGTACAATAGCAAGATTATAATGGCAAAATTTATATTGCGCACTCTTACTTCTTTTGTTGTGACTTATGAAATGTTTTTTGATGTTGTTGTTTTTGTTTTTTGTGGTAATAAGATGTAAAATTTACAAACTGAGTACAAGTAATCCAAACTGATGCAAGGATATCAAATTCAATTTATTATCTAGAAATAATTTGTAATACATAATGTATGATGTCTCATTAGTTTACAAGATGTAATTGATGTAACTTTACTGATGCCTCCTTATAGCGAGGGTTTACATTTCTCAAATGCAAGGTCAGAATTGTTAGTAATCAGAGGAAAATCATGTTATAAGGAATAAAAGTATGAAACAAGAAAGCTGTAATACTAACTGTCCCCAAGTTAGGACCAATACTAAAACGTCAAAAATATCTTTACCCTTTGAAAGAATACACATGATGTGTAGAATGAAAACTCTAGCACCAAGTGTTCAAAACTGATCGCCAAGATTAAAGTTTGAAAATTTAAAGTAAACTTGGGTCAAACTTCAAGGTAAAGGCATCAAATTTGTTGGTAACAAAGGAAAGGACTTGTCAATAGGAATACACATGCGGATTATGAAAGCCAAAGCCCCACAAACTCAAAAGTTATTGTTAAGGTGAATGTTTTTGCGGTCAAACAAACAGACAGACGGACGGACAGAACTAAAACTGTATAACCACGAGTCATCGATTACGGGGGCATGAAATGATTTAGGAGATTGCTATCGAGCGAACAAAAGAGATTTCACAAGATAAAGCACTGACATTCAATTGACTGAAAGTAGATTAAGTGACAGATAAAGATAATATTTAATGTTTATAACGATAACAGTTTAAATACAATGAAGAATTACCTCAGTGATTTTTATATTGATTTGTTTACAGTTAACATAACTTTTCCCTTTATTTCATGTCTGTATTTACGTAATGATACAGATGTCAGTTGTGAAAAGTTTTTACATCCTTTTTGTCATAAATCAATGAAATATACATAATTATTAATTTTTGAAGAATGTTATACTCGTTTACTTAATTTTATGACAAATTCATTTATGATGCATATGATATAATTATATCTTTAATGAGATTCAATTTTATTGACTTCAAGCAATTCACAGAAAAGCTTTATTTTGAAATCACAGATAAGTAAAACTAAGTGTAAATAATTGCATGAAAAACATAATAATCTTTTCTTTGGAAGAACCAGAATTGCTTTATCTGTATAATGATCCTGTCCATATATCAATTAACTTACTAAGTCCAAGTGACCTATTTCAAACATCAACATAAAGTAAAGACTTGGTGCTCTCATGGTTCCATGTACATGTAATAGTATGATGTTAACTTGCGAATTTATAGAATGGTGGTTCCCCGTTTTCGGTGACTTAGTGGATCGGGTGCCATTATTTATTGCATATGGTATCAATATGAACGCCTATTTATATATCATCCAAAAATTTGTAAATAAGGTCAAACATGAAGGTCAACTTCAAGGGGAAGGGGGGGATCAAAGCATGCTCGAATATATCCTGTATCAAGTAATGCACATGTCAGATATGAAAGCCCCATTTATTCTTTTTTAAAACTTTTGACCAAATTAAAATTGATATTAATAATTTTGAAAAGTAGGCCAAACGTCAATGCCAATGTCACAGGGTAAAAAATGTCCCGAGTAAAAACATTTTACATGTATTACATTCCAGAGCAAGATTTCTTATTTTCATTCATCTTTTCTCGACAACATATTTATTATTTTTCTGGAATTTTTCCCCCCACCTACATGTATCCATCGACCCAAAACATTTCATCCTGAATCTTGAAAGGGCAACCAAAACAAAGTTAACATTATTTCAAACATTATTTTAAATAGGGACTTACTATGATTAACACATGTTGCCAGAAAAATAAAATATTCTCAAATAAATTTTTCATTGAATTGCACACATTATAAAAATCATCCAGATATCTTTCCGCAAAAAATTAGACTGTTGAGTAAAAGTTTCGTACAGAAAGAGAGGGGAGTTTATATTTTTACAGACCATAAAGATGCAGTATCGCTGAACATTGTATATTGTTTAACATATCTCTTGGGATTTTTTCACTCAGGGAGACGCCATTACTAGCCGCAGTAGAGCTGCTAATTTTAGTCCAACACACATCAATCAGGACGATTAACTATTGAGGGTCCTTTTTTGTATCAGCACCTACTACCACACTAGACGTAGGTTTATACGGTCTCATCCGAAGAACCGGTCTCCACGACCCCTAGTAAGATTCGAACCCGTGACGTATTGATCAACTCCTTATGCTACTGCTATTGAGCAAACGCTCTTACCACCCCTGTTCCACGCAAAACGACAATGTTACTGTTGACAATGTATATAATTTATAAATATGTAGGACGAAAGTATAAACCCTAGCAATATCATTTCCGAAGGCACTGAGGAGAGAGGGAAGGAGGTGTGGATAATATGTTTATCATAGGTTCTCATTCCGTGAAAGAATGTATCTTATTTACTAGAACAATGTACAGTACGTAAAATATTGACATTGAAATTTTGAACTAAACTGTTGGCGTTATAATTATGCTCAAAGCATACTTGTCAGGTTATAGTTTCCTCAGTAATAAAAACATTATACTCAGTATACAACCACTTTTATTGCCTACATCTGTGAATGATCAAGTTTTCTGTTCAAATTCAAACAAAAACAGTAACTCAGGTGACCTATTACTTTCTGTTTTTGTCCGTCGTCGTCCGTCGTCCGTTAACATTTGAACATTTTAAGCTTCTTCTCTGAAACCACTGAGCCAATTTCAACAAAATTTTGCATATAGCATCTATGGGTGAAGGGGAACAAAAATTGTGAATTTCATGGTCTGGGGCCTGGGGGTGGGGCAAAAACTACTAAAATTAGTGCAATCTTTAAAAATCTTCTTTTTGACTCCTGAACATCAAGCAGTCAAAATGTTGGTATGATTGTAATCAGCATTGAGTCCTCTACCAAAATTGTGAAATTCATGGCCCCAGGTTCAGGGGTTTTTATGCTAGGGCGGGGCTATATAGGTTATATAGTAAAAATGCATTATTTCTTTGAAATTCTTCCTTTCTGCTTCTGGGCATTAAATAAACTAACCAAGTGCATAGCTATGTTGAATAAGGCTGCCTCTTCCAAAATTGTGAATTTCATGGCCCCACAGTCAGGAGTTCTAGTGTTAGGGTGGGACTATAAAGATAATATAGTAAGAAATGAATTATTTCTATGAAAATCTTCTTCTCTGCTCCTTAGTATTAAATAAACTAACCAGGTAAATAGTTATGTTGAATAAGGCTGCCTCTTCCAAAATTGTGAATTTCATGGCCTCTGGATTGGGGGTTATGGTGTTAGGGTGGGGCTCTATTGATTATATAGTGAAAATGCATAAATTCTTTAAAAATCTTCTTTTCTGCATCTGGGTATTAAACCAATAAACTATGTACATATTTATGAAGAAGAAGGATGCCTTTTTGAGATTTGTGAATTTCAGAGCCCCTGGGTCAGGGCTTCTTGTGGTAGGGTGGGGCTTTAATGTTTATATAGTGAAAATGCAGGAATTCTTTGAAAATCTTTTCCTTTGTTCATAGGTATTATGCCAATTATCTTAGTACATATTTATGACGAAGAAAGCTGCTTCCAAAAATGGTTATTTCCTGGCCCCTGGGACAGAGGTACTTGGGGAGAGGGGGGTTACATAGTCAAAAATAATTTAATGCTGTGAAATCTGCACTTTGGTATTAATCAACAACATGATGAAATAAAATTTCCAAAATTTTGAAATATGTGGCCCCAGAGTTAGTGGTTCCTTTGGGATAGGGTGCTTAACTGATAAAGTGGAAATGTATTTTCTCTTTTGTTACTCTGGTCTACCACTGGGTATTAGTAAACAAAGTAAGCATGCTGAGTGTATATTAATGAAAAGCAATAGTGCCTCTTTCAAAATTGTGAAGTTCATGGCCTCTGGTTTAAAACATGAATCAAATTCAATTGTTGGAAAGTTGTTGCATGATACTCAGGTGACCTATAAGGCCCATGGGCCTCTTGTTATTTATATTGCTACATATTCTAAATTTTAAAATATTTATTGCAAATACAAAGAAAGGATAGAACAGGCGTATATGTAATACAAAATGATATTTAATAAATATAATCTTTAAAATGAAACATATGGAAACGTCCAAGATCAGTATACAAGATCAAAAATCCATAAAGCAATACAAAATAAGAGCAGAACAAAAATGGACCTCCAGAGCATCAGAGGTGGAATCAAGTATTGAACATCAAATGTTATAGAAAAACAAATCTTAAAATCATCAATTCCTCCATTTTGTAGAATTGTACACAAAAAATTTACAATGAATAGGAATATCTTCTGAAGAGTTTCTCGCAGCAAAACTTTCGAAGTTCATTTCTGAATTTTTTGTCAAAAAACCAATAAATGTATGGATTAGCAATGTGATTAAGAAGGTTGAAGCGGAGACAGAAATAGTACACGTTTAATTTAAACCCTCTCAAGTTCATTGTGGGGTTCACGAAAGTGTAGACCTGCGTAACCAATGACGTCAGATACGAAACTACGTAGACAATTATGATGACGAGAAACATGATGCTGATATTCCTCCGCGCTCTTTGTTCCCGGTTTCCGTCCGTTGTTAAGGTGTTCGTGGGTTCCTTTTGAGGAGTTCGCACAATATTTTGTGGTGAATCCGCCTTTGTTATTTTTTCAGCACTAAGATCCTGTGTTTCTTTAGATGAGATATCGGTGTTATCGTCTGGAATAATACTTACTCGATTTCGTTTGGGAGTGGGCAGCGTTTTATAGATAGTCTTGATCACAGGAATGTACAGAGCGGAAGTGACAATGATATTGATAAAAGAGAGAATGAGAAAAGTTCCAAAATACGGGATCATTACACTACTTCCGTTGGTGCCATCGTCAAAATGACACATATTTAATGAAGAGGGTCTATATATTCCACTTAATTTCAAAATTGGAGCGGAATACCCAACCGATATTAGAAATATAATTAATGTAGCAATTTTGCATGATTTTGTAGACATTTGCGGACCAAACGGACGACAGATGATTAAATACCTTTGCAAGGCGATCGCAAATATTAAGTGCGCCGACATCCCCCCTGTTAGAATGATTAAAAAACATAATGTTTTACATAAATTCTCGCCAGGGTATATGTAACGCATAGTGTTGTCAATGTGAAATTGAGTCACATTTGAAATGCATCCTGCAAGATCCACAATTGCCAGAATTGGAATGAAAAACCGAGAAGACGTTTTGTCCTGTATATATCTAAAGTACACCAAAATAACAACAGAGTTTCCGAATATTCCAAAGGCAGCAGCAATTAACTGTGCGATTGTATTGGAAAGCAATTTTTCGGAATATCTCTCAGATAGAATTCGTGCAAACTCCATATTCACATTTGTCTTTCACAAAAGACGTATTTTTATTTGAATTTTATTCCACTTTTTGACAAAGGGAAGTAAGAAAAGGGGAAAAGGAGACTCATAGCAGAATTACAATTAACGTATCACAAGCAGCTAATACAAGTATCATTAAAGACTTGGCAGAAGCGCATATGATTCATTTACACAAGTAAGGCTAGTATGATGAATAATAATGTTACATAATCTTACAATCATAATTTCGTAGTTCCTTCATTTTTTTTAACAAAATATGAAAAATAACAAAATTTACACATTGATAAATCTAACAAGTATTGAACTAGTAACGACGGCATAACGACGTCAGAAATATTCTTGCTTTGCAACGGCTGATAAAACCTTTCGCTATTTATATAGTAGTTTTATATAATCGTTTAAAAATTCATTTATGAAAAAGTTTTTTAAAAATTGAAGTTTTATTGTATTAAGTTTTGTTTTGATATTTTAGCTGCATCGATGATATTACTTTTGAATCAACCCTCCTATTTTCAGATTCATGTTATATTTTTCGGCACTCATTTTTAGACAGTGGCTATTTATAGCCACAGGCTATTGCTGCTGGTCTGGGCTTTTGAATAAACAACATGCAAACACACGGGGATCCTAGCGGAGATTTTTGCAGAGTCGAAATAATGAAAGTAGACTTGTTTCGATGATTGAAAATGAAATGTACATATTTAACACATACTTTCAAGTTATTTTGAAGACATTTCCTTGATGGACACAAGGCTTAATTCCTTATATTTGCCGTTCTCAATATTTCTCGCCACATAAATATTCATTGAATTATGCCGAACTACAACTAACTCGTACACCAACCGACTCGCATATTCGTATGCAAACTACAGCAGTCAATTCGTACATGATGTTTTCGTTTTTTTTCTCTCATGTGCTAAAAGTAATTTCGTACACATTGTGTTAGTTTAGAATTATAATTATTCTCAGAAAATTTGATGAAAAATATTTGTAGATAATTATTTCACTTTCTAACTCCGAAATCAAATAATTATAATTGCTAAACAACACAAGCGAAGCTGTTTATTAAACACTCTTTTTGTGAATTTTTTATTTAATAAAACTTAAGTAGTTTATTGTAATTTAACAGAGTCTTTTGATTGTTTGAATTAATTTCTAATATCTGTTTACAATGCCACAGACATAAGAAAAATGAATACATGTATTTTATATAAGAAAGAAGAAAAAAGAGACAGAAAATATTTTGTTATTTTGTTTCTTCTTTCTCTCTTTTTTCGAGCAGTATACGAGGGTTTGTCCTTTTAAATCGTGGACAAGGTTTTTCTCGAAAAATAATGGGCGCCATAAGATGAAATTATTAGCAAGTATTTAATTATCATATTTTAGCGTATCTGAATTCTTTTGATGAAATATAGACAAATATCAATATTTTATTAAGATGCTTTAATATCATACATGTAAGCATGTTAAAAAAAAATTAATTATACGCGTCAAGTTTTATTTCGAAATAAAAGTATCAAATAGATTTTGGTAAACATTATTGCATTTTTATTCACTATCTATTGTGTCGCGATCGTCTATTGGAAAATGACGTTTCTACGCAATGAAAAGCAGTCCAGTTTTTTTCATCTTTAGCGTACAAGGGAAATTGTAGTTTCCTAACCGAAATCGTTTTTTTGTCAAATCCATGGGCGTAACAAACAGCTATAGGAATAGCGAAAGACGCTGTCAATGTTGACAGCTAATTAATAAGATAGCCCATTGAGTTGAATGATAGTAAAATTATTGTCCATAACTTACATGAATCTTCACAAGGTTCCATTTGTGCGCGAGATTAGTTCCTGACTGTTATTTAAAGATTTAAGGGAAATTCAATTCTGTGCATCAAAGAAATTCCTTAATTTAAGTGGGAGTTATCTAACTTGTTTTTAGCAAAAAAAGGAATCGTGACGCTGCTTTAGACACTCATTATATAAAATCATAATTTGTTTATTTATGCATAGATATATTTGAAGTTTGCTTTGTATTTTTGATGAAAAATTTATACTTAAGAGTAGAGAACATTTTAGATCACAGTGAGAATTCATAACACTTTACTTTTTAGTACAAAAATATAAATTTATAAATTGAAATACACGTACATGTATTGTGAAAAAATGAAATAAACATTTATAATTTCTATATCATTTTACAAATTCTTACAACATTTTATCTTATTTAATGCCAGTCGCCATTTGACGTTGCGGGTTCGCTCTGAAAGTACGGACGTAAAGGTGTCCATCCGTACGTCGCGGATTCGACGCCCACTGCGGGACATGGAGATCCACACTTAATTCAGATTGATATTCCGTGTCGCAGTAACACTCAAAATGGACGGTAAACAAATAAAACCATTCAAACCACCGTCTTTCAGTACTCACAGTACTTTGATTTCATATATCTGCACATTTGTAATTAACCTTTCACGTATACTTCTTTTTAAATATTTTTCACTACTATTTATGTATAACCGTCTTTTTGATGTATGGTATTAAGATCACTTAAATATTTCCAAATATTATTTTTTTGTATTTATTAATATAAATATAAGGAATTGCTGTAGTTTGTTTGGTGCTCCAGTGACATTAATGACAGTTTGAAAAGTAGGATTATCTATCCCGTGTTTACCACTATCATTAATGCCCTTGAATACCAACAACTTAGACAGCGAATCCTTAAAAAAAAATCAACGCATAATATTTGGGTCGTAGAACTTTCTACTAGGCCTAGCCTCCTCGTGGAGAATTATTTTAAACCTCCGAGATACGGTGTTATCTTATTTTCCTTCATTAAAGATACTACAACAGCTAAATATTTTGCAATATATGTAAAACCACCGTCATTATTAATGAAAAATATAAACTATCAGTACCTAAATTATCCCTCCTTTTGATGGTACCTTTTTTGTAGATTTTTAGTTTTCCTCTTGTCAGTTGTATGTTCTTAATATTTGTCTTCTGCTTTGTTTGTCCAGTTAAAGTTGTTAGTCCAAGCCATGCTTTAGTTTACTTTGATTTGAAGAAATGAATGCGTGTTCAGTAAGCTAGGGATTTTTGGCTGAGGCTGATTTGAACTGCTTGCCAATAGATACAGCGAGTCTGCAAAAGTGTATTTGAACACAATCATCCCCTAACCCCAATCATAAACATGTAAAATGCCAGAATAGAAAAAAATGATTTCTTTGTTAATTACAACCATTTCTCTATTTAACATAATTATGTTACATTATATTATATTTTTATACTGTGATAAATTGTAGTCAACAATACTATCGGGAAGTACCTTATCAAGGTTACGAAATTCTGACCTGTCTAAATCAAACATTGATTAATATTGTGACCCTTCAAAACAGTTCGGATATTTTCTGTAATTTGTGAAATATGAATTCTGTAAAACAAAGTGAACGCGTGGAGAAGTTTTTAGTACAAAATTTATATAAATTTTGCGAGCGTATACTATTCAACAAAACAACCCTATAATGTTAAAATAAATATTGCAACTTTTACAATTTTGAAAAAAGGCAGAGGGCGTGGTAACAGAAAAGACTGGCTTTTCAACGATTTGTTTTAGGTAAAACTGGATAAAATAATTAGCATTTGTTAAGGAGCATTTTTATATTGTAAATTTTAATTTATTACGCATGATTTGCTTTCTATTAACAGATGTATGTTTTCTTAAACTAAGATTGGAAATTAAAGGACGTAACTGTATCTCTGGTATGTTAAAACACACTGTGAAAAATTACGCACTTTGAAAAAAAAATTACAAAGTGCGTTAAAATTTGGGACAAAGCTAACGCACTTTGAAAAAAAATATTTTTTTTCAAAGTACGTTAATATCGACCATATTGACGCACTTTGAAAAAAATGTAAAGATTAATCAATATTCCTTCAAATAATCGGTGTGGTGAATTACAGATCCTGGTTTGATAACTTTTTTATGATAAAGTCATTGTAGGACCTGAGATATTGACGTTTTAAATATTTAAGGTTTTGATAAAATAAAAGGGAAAATTAAAGGGTCTTGAAAAAAAGACTGACGATTGTTTAAGTTCATTAATTCGTTTCTTCTTTTTTTTTTTTAAATCTAGTCTTTGATGAGTAGGTGTAAAGGTGTATAGGGAGCACTAACAGAGGACAGCTTCAAGCAACTTGGCATTTATCATAATAAAAAGGGGCCAATTTGATTGTTCAAAACTATGAAAATTCTTTCTCTCTCATACGTTTTACTGTTCTTAAAAATTTCTAGTTTTCATCTGTTTTAATTAACTCATTTATTATTGAAAGTTTTCAACGTCCTACCAGTTAGGTAAATACACATGTACATAATTATATAAATGCTTTGAGTATAGCATAGACATCGAGACTGGACGAAGTGCCAGGGGAGGGGATGGGGGATAAGCCCCCCACTTATTTTGGAAAGATATATACATCGTATAAGCATTGAAAATGCAGCGTACCCTTTTTAAGTTTATTGCTCCCCTCCCCCGTTTGTTACCAACACCTATGTATTTAAAAGATAAAGATTTGGACTGAGGGATATTATACCCGTCTTCTCCTCTTTTCGACGGGAGTAAATCAATTCATTTTTGAGGTGAGGGTTAGGCTTAGTTTTTTGAACGATTCATAACAAATAAAATCTTTCCATGACTAAAATATGATTTTTTTTCAAAGTGCGTTAGGTGTCTCGATGGTAAAATATATTGATGTAGACTCTTAACGTACATTGAAATTTTTTTTCAAAGTGCGTTGAGTTGGTCCCAAATTTAACGCACTTTGAAAAAAATTTTCAAAGTGTGTTGATTTTTCCCCAATTTTAACGCACTTTGAAAAATTTTTTCAAAGTGCGTTGCCACACTGGTATCTCTTGGTTTTATATATTATTTATCATTCTCTTATGACTTCTACATTGCTTTCAATATGTTTAATAATAATAATAATAATAATAAAACTTTATTTAAAGAAGGTAACCTGGTTAGTGCATGCACTATTCTTCCCCAGGGCCTTCTATATACATTAATTACAAAGATATACAAGATACAATTCATCATATATAACAGTGATAGGCTCAAGGAATTACAATCACAAAATTATAAATAAAGTGTCCATGTACAGATATATGACAATCACAAACATTGTAGATACAATATCAAAAACGTATTATGCTCAAATAATTGTGCGACAGCTGATGATGTAATTTTCTACATTACGCTTAAATGTTCGTAGAGATTGAGAAAGTCTAATGTGTTGGGGAAGTTTATTCCATAAATGTACACCTGAGTACTGTAAAGAGGTCTTGAATAAGTTTGTACGAAATTTTGGTAATTTAAGATCATAATTAGTTTCAGATCGCAGGTTATAGGAAGTTGAAGAATGAAATTCAAATAAATTATGAAGATATTCGGGAGTCATTCCGTTGAACATTTTGTATAATAATATGTATTTGTACAAATCGACTAGCTCATAAATAGTTAACCATTTAAGTTTCTCAAATAGTGGTTTAGAAGAAGAATCAGGACTTGCGTCAAGAATAATCCTTGCTGCCCTTTTTTGTAATTTAAATAGTCTGTCCATGTCCTGCTTGGGGGCATTTCCCCAAACAGTCAAACAATAGTTAATAGATGGTAAAATATAAGCATTGTAATATAGTTTCCTGGTATGAAGAGGGAGAAATTTCTTAATCCTACGAAGAGTATATAACTTATAATTTATGGTTTTACAAACCGAATCAATATGATTCGCATACTGTAACTTATCATCAATATGTACACCAAGAATTTTTTCAGTTTTAACCATTTCAATTGTTTTGTCTGAGGCATAAAGTTGTAAATTTGGATTATTTAGTTTCGATTTTCTCTGCTGTGTTCCTATTAACATACATTTTGTTTTATCTACATTTAATACCATTTGATTTTGAGCACACCATTTCTCAATGTCACAAAGATCTGAATTTAGTGTATTTTCTATACATCTTGCATTATTATTATTAGAATACAGAGTAACATCATCAGCAAACATATCAACATTTGAATTGTTTACATATAAAGGAAGGTCGTTTATGTACAATAAAAATAAAAGTGGACCCAAAATTGACCCTTGTGGTACCCCTGCTGTGACGGGTAAAATATTGGAGACACATGTTCCAAATTTAACACACTGGGTCCTGTTGTAAAGATACGACTTAAACCACTTTATAGCTGTTTGGTCAAATTTATAATGGGTTAATTTCTCTAAAAGAATATCGTGATTCACCAAATCAAATGCTTTACTAAAATCTATAAATGTAATACCGATTAGTTCACCACAATCCATTGCATTAAGCCAACTTTCTGTTAGTTTTGTAAGGGAAGTTTGACAGGAATGAAGTTCCCTAAATCCCGACTGGGATTGTGTTAGTAGATCAAATTCATTAGTGAAATTTTGTATTAGCTTAGCTACATGTTTTTCTATCAATTTAGATATAGTTGGTAGAATGGAAATAGGCCGATAATTATTCGGGTCAGCTTTGTCACCTTTCTTAAAAATAGGTGTTACTTTGGCTTGTTTTAAATTTGTCGGGAAAATACCACTTACTATGCTAGCATTAATAAGATGAGTTATAGGTTTACATATATATTTAGCTGCGACTTTCAAAAGACGCGGCCCAATAAAGTCAATGCCAGCTGATTTATTGACATTTAGAGAATTTAACATGTTAAAAACTTCACTTTCCTCAATATGATGAATACTAAAGAATGTTTCCTCATCAAGCTTAGACCTAACAAAATTACATAATATATGAGGATCATAATCATGTTTTGGCATTTCCAAAAGAAGCTTCTTAGAGACATCCGTAAAGTGGTTATTAAAAGTATTAGCAATATCCTGTAGATTATCAACAATTTCCCCATTAGAAAAAACATGCGATGGAGTTATGTTCTTTGAATTAGATGTTAATTGATTAAGATAATTCCACATTTCTTTGGGATTTGAACTCTGTTCAATCGCTGTTTTATAGTAAGAAGATTTTGATTTGTCTATAAGAAGACTGACTTTGTTTCGATAAAGTCTAAAGTTTATAGATATATCAAAATCATAAATTTTTATAAAGGTCATTCAGATGATTACAATAAGCGATATTTAAGACACATAAAACCGTGGTATTTTTTCCTAATGCCTGGCAAAGTACCCTAATTTTTTTTGGTGAGGAAAACATGTTTAAGTACCTAGACGTCAATGACAATTTCTTGGAAAAAATTATATATTTTGTCTGACCTTAAAAAAAAATGTGTTGAAGTTATTTTGATTAAAAAAACGCGTAATGCTCAAACATATACATGTATCAAAAACGTACAAAAATACTACAAGTAAACACAGTTTATAATCAGTATCAATATTCTTTAAAATTTGATGCAATGTAATCTTTGATATATGCAATACTTTACGGAGTTACCTTTCTTTTCTCATAAAGTTGTTAGAAATTTCTCTAACCAACGGAACGCCTACAGGGCGTAACACAGTAACAGCATAGTTTATTTATATGTCGCATTTGATTTAACGCTTCGCTGTTTATGAAGCGTTTACTGTCCCCTATTATGTTTTATCGTATAACATAAGTTAAAACAACCTTCTTTCCTTACATATAAGAAATACATATACCTCTTTTTAATATTAGGAATTCAAACTACGACTAATCATTAAAACAAGAGGCCCACGGGCCTTATAGGTCACCTGAGTATCATGTAACAACTTTCCAACAATTGAATTTGGTTTGTGTTTTAAACCAGAGGCCATGAAATTCTGAAAGTTTGGAAAGAGGCACCATTGCTTATCATAATTATAAACTAAGCATGCTTACTCTGTTTACTTAATACCCAGAGGTAGATCAGAATAACAAAGAGAAAATGCACTTGTACTTTATAACCAGTTGTGCACCCCAACCCAAAGGAACCACTGACCCTGGGGCCACATATTTAAAAATTTTGGAAATTTTATCATAAATTTCATTTCATCATAAATGGTTGATTAATACAGAGCAGATTTCAAAGCATTAATTTATTTTTAGACTATGACCCCCCCGCCCCCGAGATACCCTTGACCCAGGGGGCAGGAAATTAACCATTTTACTAGATGCACCTTACTTCATCATAAATATATAAACTTGGATCATTAGCATAATACCCAGGAACAAAGAAAACGATTTTCAAAGAATAAATGTATTTTCAATATGTAATCAAAAAAGCCCTCTCCCCCTTACACCAAATGGCAAAACCCCTGAAACAAGGGTCAAGAAATTCACAAATTTGAATGAGGCATTATAACTATATACTAAGTTAGTTTATTTAATACCCAGGAGCAGAGAAGATTTTCAAAAATTTAATGCATTTTCACTATATAATCAATAGAGCCCCGCCCTAGCACCAGAACCCCTGACCCTGGGGCCATAAAATTCACAATTTTGGATGAGGCACTCTTGCTCATCATAAGTATGTACTTAATTAGTTTATTTTATACCCAGGAGCAGAGAAGAAGATTTTCAAAGATTTAATGCATTTCCACTATATAATCAATAGAGCCCCACCCTAGCACTAGAACCCCTGACCCTGGGGTCATGAATTTCACAATTTTGGTAGAAGACTCAGTGGTCATTACATTCACACCAACAGTTTGCCTGCTTTTTGTCCAGGAGTAAAGAAGAAGATTTTTTAAACATTTGTTTAATTTTAGTGATTTTGGCCCCACCCCTCAGGCCCCGGGGGGGGGGGGGGGGGGGCGGGGACAATAAAATTCACAATTTTTGTTCCCCTTCACCCATAGATGCTGTATACCAAATTTGGTTGAAACTGGTTTAGTGGTTCCAGAGACGCTGAAAATGTTCAAATGTTAACACACGATGGACGACGGACGTCGCACGACGAAAACGGATAGCAATAGGTCACCTGAGTGACTCAGGTGACCTAAAAATACATCTATCTGAAATGCATTGTTAATTTTTTTTATTATTATTTAATTCAGTTCTCTATTATACTATTTTTTCTTAGGGATATACATGTGTACATGGCACCTGAAACGAAAATGCATACAAGACATAAAATAAAACAAGCAAATGACAATACCTCTTCATAATTTAATTCAATTATCATTCAAATTTTTTTTTTGAAACAAAAAGAATTGTCTATTGTTCCAAACAATACTTTTTTAAAAATCACTTTTTGAAAACAGACGAATAATCCATCATTGCAGATAGGAAAATGGAAAGAGGAATACTTAATAATCTAGAATTGATTTACATATCATTTATAGTTTTAAATTTTGGTTCATGAAAGAGTAATGTAATCTTTAATTCATACCATTAAACAAAGAGTGTAAACAAGTCTTTGCTAAAATGAACACATTTCTATCATCAGAATTCAAAAATTACAGTAATGATACATCCCCCAGCTTATAAATGTCAATTTCAGAAGAATCGAATAAAATCCATATCGTCCCATTCTTACTGTACGCAATCTTGGTGATCTCATTGCGTCTGTTAGTTTTACAAATATTGTGTATAAAGTCACCATTACTGTCCAGTAAGTCAATGGACTGACCATGTCCACAAAGTAAATGACCAGGTTTGTTGAAAACCGGAGTTATTATTCCGACCTTGTCTATGTCGACCGTGCATTTCAGATTAAAATCTTTGTTTAAAATGTACAAATGACTGGAAACTTCCAAGGGATCAACATTTGTGAAAATGAAGTTTTCGCTACTATTCTGATACAAACTCGATTGAGGATGTTGCAAGTTGGGGCTTGTACCTGTTAATCTCCAATTACCAAGGAAATCTCCTTTTTTAGTGTATTGAAAAAAAGGACCAAATGAACATTGAACAAGATAATTACCAGATAGCATAAAACATACACGGCAATTATCAGTGGAAAGTTCAGAAATATCAAACAACTTGCGGACCACGCCATTCTCCCCAGCAGCTATTACTAGTGAATTTTCCGAAACAAATACAGCCTCACCGTCGTCATTAACTTGTTATGTTACTAACATATAATCCAGAGGCATACTCTTCAGGTATTTTAATTTCTTTGTTGATACCGACGTCACTAAGAAGATATAACGTGTAGACAAATGGTTTCTCAAAGGAACGATTGAACGAGACTGGGTTAAAGTTAGGAACCAACATCCAACATTTGTTGTCCGTCGTTACAAGCATGGAGAAGTGAGATACGGGTGAGGAGGACTTGAATTTTATAGTTGTTGCTGTTGATTTGTTTGTTGTGCACGTTGATGTATCGATCGTAATAGTCTGACTACAGTTATCATTCAAGCCTGTAACAGAATGCAATTTATATATTTCACATCTTTAGGATTTTTTTACTACTTTAAATGCATTTCTTTAAAATTTCAATAACCAAATAGAAAAAAATAAACAAAATGATTGAAATTATCATTCGTCGTACAATTACTGATTGATGATGTTTCCTTTTCCTGATGTAATCTCAGCTCTGTCGATTTCAACTCTTTCAGAATACATGTATCAGATTTAATCGCTGTTAGTCCCTCTACGATTTCTGATGAGTGGCAAGTAAGAAAAGAAATTCCATTTTTAATTACGCCAAAATTTAGTGATCATATTTTAATTCATAAATATAAAAAGAAAAAAACAAGCACACTTGTAAAAGGGGTTTGGATGACTTTGGACCCCCTTGTCAGGTTGATACGAAGAGTCAATGAAACAAAGGACCCCCCCCCCCCCAACTTACACAAGTCATCCATACACACACAAAATGTACTTCACGTTTGAGGAAGTATACGGTTTTTTTTTGGGGGGGGGGTCAATAAATTTCTAAGTGGGTTGGATTATTTAGTCCCCTACCGGTTAAACTGGGGGGGGGCTATAGTTTTCCTCTGATTCTGTCCGGACGGCATCCGTCCGTGTGTCTGTCCCACTTGAGAGATCTTCCTCAAATAAGGTTTGTCAATGAGAGAGAGAGAGAGAGAGAGAGAGAGATGGTAATTCCACTTACCAATTTTATTTTATATTTAAATAATGAAATAAAATTTGATTTCATCTGATTTTTCAGGTGTAAAGTATAACTTACCAGAAAATCTGGCTTCTAAGATTGCTTGCTTTTCTTCTAAACTTTCCAACCTCACTAAAATATATCATCAAGAGTTAATTGTATATTAAATTGTAGCCATTTGTACCATGCATTTTGCATTTAGCAAGAGGATAGCTGTTAAAATTGATCAAATTTGTCAAATTCAACTACATGATAATGAGGATTGATTTTCTAGAAATAACTCTTACAATACATCTTGAAGAGGTATAAGGGAGACCAATTTTTGAAGTAAAGACGCAGGTAGAGAATAATCCTTATTATAAAAACTAATGAGGAAAAAATAGAAGGAAACGCAAAAAAAAAATTCTTTTGTTTATAGAGTTATTTTTAAACTTATAAAAATAAATTCATATTTTCAGATGTACTAGCTATTATCCATTACCTAGTGTTAGTTGTTTTTACAAATGTCATTATAAATTTTTGCTGCACATCCTGTTAAATGTACTTACCTCTTTTAGCCTTTGCTTCCTCTTTTATATTGATATGAAACAGAAAAGACATGCATACATTATATAAATTGATTACAGTTGAGATATTTCACATCTACTTAAGTCATTCAGTTGAAATTTAATTTAGACTTAGAAAAGCATATTTACCTTCTACGACATCGATTCTCTCTAAAAATTAAGAAAGAAAAGGAATATCATTTTTTGGTACAATTCTAAATGATAATTGATGGTCACATTTTGAAAGGAGTATTTTAATCAATCGATCTTGACTTACCTCGTTTAACTTTCAGTTCCCCTAAAAAGACATAAAATAGGATGTGAGAAAATATCTTTTTCCGAAAAAATATATACATGTATAGCAATTTTTTGTTGCAAATAATGCATGTTAGAGTGATAAAATATGTTCTCATATGAAATGAATCAACAAAAACAACAAATAATCATTATTGCCAACATAACAACGACCAAAAAAGGAACAATAGGCCCAATAGCCACATTGCTCACCTTAGCAATGTTGCTAGGAAAAAGCTGAAATCATTATCAAAAAGTTTAAATCTTAAAGGGGAGGGGTCTGTGTTTTGAACAAATTTGAATACTTGAATCTACACTAAGTAAGGATAAATTTTTAAAGTACGGCCCTACCTTAAATGAAAATAATGATTAATAGATAGTTATATTCACCAGTACATCTCCGAATTTGAGCCACATATTCCTTGGATTTGGTCGGGTTCAAATCACAGTCATATATATGGTCTATTCCTCTTTCATATCTATCGCTGCCGATAACCTCTTTCTCAATCTCAACAACCGTCGTTCTTAACTCTCTCCAGTAATCCTCGAATTCCACGTCATCAACAGTACCATTGGTAGAGTGTCCAGAGATGGAATTTCGTAAAATGCGGATCCTTTCTATGCATGCAGCCAAAGAAAAGTCAGATGGACGAGGTTGATTTCCCCAACCTGCTATATGTGTTGGAATATTACATAAATTGCGCAAGATCTTGTAGAGTAACGATATATCAAGATCTCTGGATCTTATTGGCGGAACAATACAAGTAGAAGAATGTGGAGGATAAAGTACGTCCTTTTCCTGTTTATTCGTTATTTTTTCCAGTTCCGATTTATTCTGGTCCAATTCTGTTCTTAAATTGGCTGGTTTTATATAATGGCTGAGTATATCTCTCATGACGTCACTACAGATTGTTACCAGGAACTGACAGAGTCGCGCGAAATTTTCTGTAGATTTTTTGGGGTCATAGTATAACACTGAGGGGCTAGGTGCATCTCCCATGATAACTTCTATGCCGTTTTCTTTTGAAACACTAATCTCTGAAAAAAAACATTAAATTGAAATTAAATTTAATCTGAGATCTAAACACTTTTAAAAATATTGATTCTAAAAGTTATCTTAATATTTGCGTCTTTATTTTTTCCCCCAAATTGTATTTGTTTTTAATTTTGGTGTTATAAAATTAAGAAAGGTATTTATTATTAAATTATTCTATTAATTTTGGAAGATTAGAAGAAAACTATCCCTTTGCATTATCTAATACAAGCACAAAAATTATTTGAGTTTAGAATAATATGGCCTTACGTTGCCCAGTATTTTAATTTTTTGTTTTAATTTTTTTTATTGAAGATACATGTACATTGACAACCATTAATTAAGAATAAAACAATTAGACACTTTGTAAGACAGTTATGCCCCCTCCCCCAAATAATTAGATTTTTTTCTTAAAATCCGTCCGAGGGACATACATGTAACACTGACAAAAATGGCTCGATCGTGAGATCCCTATACCAAATGTCATTTTAATATGTACAGCCTCTGCAAAGAAAATGAGCAAAAACTGTATACAGATGAATTTTTTCAAAGTCCAAGTTCTAAGCAAAACTTTGTCCAAAATGGTCTGATCGTATACCCAAAACGAAATTTGACCTAGACATTCTTATGATGAATCTGTATACCAAATTTCATTTCAATATGTGCAACCTCTGAGAAGAAAATGAATGTCAGTAAATTGATGGTGGACCGACAGACAGCAGCAAAGCAATATCCCCTTCCTCTTCGAAATGGGGGGGGGGCATAAATATTACAGCTTTATGAAAAATTGCAGGAATTTTATCTATTGAATTTGCACAAATAATTATTAAATCGTTGACAATTCAACTTTTAAGACGAATGTGATTTTATTGTCAAAAACTTGGTGGGCCTATTTAATCATGCAGGTGATTTTTAAAGGAACATTTTGTGGGTCGTATTTATCATCTGTTATCGTCTTGTGTAGTGTTATTAATTCTACTATTAATATTTGGTGCGGATTTTTAAAACCGTATGTAGTTTTTTTTTTTTTTTTTTTTTTTTTTTTTTTTTTTTTTTTTTTGCACGCATGCATACAGTACATTTTGTATTAGTTAGTACCACTACGTGAACGATCTGCTATATGATTTACGATATATATCGTCAATTCTCATTACATGACTGTATATATATCGGGTTCATATGTGGGTGTTGCTAAAACGCGGAACGGAAAACGGAACGGAACGGAAAACAGAAAATATTTCTCAAGCAAATAACAAAGATTCGATATTAATGAGATAACGAGCAATATTCTTGTTGTAAAAGTCACTTCTAATAAAAATTTATTGTAAACTATTATATATTTGTGAGTCATACACACATACAAAATGGTACTGAAATTCGACCCCCCCCCCCCACTTACACACACAAACCATTGGCGTCGGAAGAAAATTGAAAAAATATACCTTCAAAAAAAAACCTGGCAAGCAAAAAAAAAAAAAGGAAATGTCTATTTTCCGAACTCAAAAATCCTATTTCGTAGGGGGGGGGGGGGGGGGGGGGGGGGGAGAGTTCGAACTTCAATACCATTTTTTTTCCAAACACAACCACTTTCCCCATTCTTAACCTATACTGCAACGTGTCTGTGGAAAGTGGGGAGGGGGGAACAATGTTCAATGTCTATACTAAGTGTATATTTGGAAAAAAGAGGGGGCTAAGACACCCCCCCCCCCCCCCCCGGTTCCGAGGCCTATGCAAACACACACACAAAATTGGATTTTCGTGTTTGGGCAAAGGACATTTCCTCCATTTTTGCTCGTCAAATTTGTTATATGTTTGTAATTTTTTCTGACCCCCACCCCCTCTTTCAATTTGTTTCCAATGTCAATGTCTGTAAAGACAAAAATAACTAGTTATGATATTCAGATTATGCACGCAGTGTCGAATTCGCGAATGATGAAAGAGGGAGTGGCAGTTTCGGGTCTGTCTAGGGACCCACAGCCACATTAAAAATTGATTTATTAAACCTTATGTATATTTTGGAGTAAAAAAAAAAAGGGGGGGTTCAGACCTAATCACAGCTTATAAGACTTTTCTGATGAGTGGGATTTTTTACGGGTTCATTCATAAACAACAACCCCCCCCCCCCCCCCCCCAAACATATGTACCTCAAACAAAAAACAAACAAAATTTAAGTTTAAATTGAAAGATTCTGCATTATATCTTCCAAATGAAAGATTTCCAACTTTGTCTATCCAGAAAACGACTCTATTTTGAATAAAATTTAACAACCAGTGAGTATGAGAGATGTTTATTCGAGCTTGCCGTTAAGATTTTCACTAAACGTGATCTTAATATCTCTTTTACATTTTATTTCTCTTTCCGTGGTTCAATAAGATATCAAATATTGCCCCCCCCCCCCCCAGTCATAACCTTTTTACTACGGAAATGTTCATTCAAGATCACATCCTCACTTTTTGTGAATGTAATTAATTTAGTAAGTTGGTGTAAAAAAATAGTACTGAAAGATGTTGAAGTTGAAACTTATCCGCCCGCCCGAATCAAACAATTGTTTTCTTTTTGTGTTTTATGCCCCTCCTGAATCAAACAACTGTCTTCTTTTTGTATTTTTGCTTGTCAAATACTTTTCAAGTTCGTTTACCCCCTCCCCCTTTTCAAATTCGATTCTAGGTGAGTGCTATGCTAGCGATTTTCGTAAATAAGAGATGAGCATGACAAATTCAACTTTTATTTAATAGTGGGGGATTGAATGTGTACAAGATATATCGTTTATGATAAAATTTGTGCATTTTAAATGATTTAATCCAAAATAATATATTCCGTTTTCCGTTCCGTTCCGTTTTCCGTTCCGTTTTCCGTTCCGCGTTTTAGCAACACCCTTCATATGTCGATCGCAGTACATTCCAAAAGTTCGGATGCATAGGTTATATCCTTTTTGTTGAAGGACTATCTGCCTGTCGTCTAAATATGTTGACCTTTGATATATCCGTTGGGAAAAAATTATTTGTGTAAAACGTAAATAAAAAATTTATATTCCCGTTTTTATTTTATTTTGACCATTGAATTTATTATATAGTATAAGACATATTTAAAAAAATCCTAAGTTTGTGTTATTATTTAGTTTTCATGTAGAAATACACAGAAATAAAAATTGAAGTCTGAATCAACTACAAGCTTCCATGTTTTCCAATACCGCAATATACAATCAGACTCTCCAATGTAGGAAGTAATTAATGACTTCATGTTTTAAAAATAGATTACAAATTAAACGATGCAAGCTTAGACTAAAAGGTTTGGTCATCGATAGGTTTATGAATATCATATATAAAGGTTAAAGTAAAAATTTGGAATCACTCTTTTTTATGCAAAAGAATTAAGTTCGATATAAAGAGACACCAGTATATATTTTTATATTTACAAGACATTAATTAATATTTACAAAACATAGTGAATTTAAAGTACATGTAATAAAAAGATTACCTGAAGTACAAAGGAATAACCCAAGCAGATCTGTACGATAAACATGCAAACTTTCCAATCGCTAAATTTATATTTTGCAATTTCCTATTACTAAATATACATTATTAGTAATTTTAGAAAAGGGGAATCCCATTGTCATATGGTAAAATGTTGAGTGGAGTTAAATTGTGCAGCATCCAGGAGTCTGTATTTTTAGCGAAGCGAAAGGTTTATTAACTTGTTATATATGCAGTCTCTTCAATGGCTAGCCGTTGTGGATTTAAGAAAAAAGAAAAAATGGATTAAAATGAAAAAAAAAATTGAGGTGAATTTTCTTGAGAAAAAAAATGTAGTAATTTTACCAAATAAAATATATCTTTCTGAAATTCATGATAAATAATTTGATTTACTATAACGAAAAAATTGAATCACTATTATTAATTATAAAATTTTTTGTTAGGGAAATAAGAAACAATATGCTTTAAAAATATTATGCTTTTGCAAACAAGAAGAGAAATACTGTATTGCCTGCTCATATATTGACTACTTTTTTTTTAATTAATCCTCTTTTTGGGGGTTTAATTTAAAATTTCATACATTTGAAAAGTATACTTTATGATTTCCTATGTGAATTAACACGGAAAGATAACTTATTGATTTACTTTGACATTTAAGGGTGTTGCTAAAACGCGGAACGGAAAACGGAAAACGGAAAGCGGAATGGAACGGAAAACGGAAAATAAATGTCAAGCAAATATCCTAGACAGATCATTCTATATAATTCGTGCCAAAAAAACAAAAAAACAAAACAATAATCCTGATATAAAAGTCATATCTACTGAAAATTTATCGTTAAACATGATATACTCATGAATTATGCACCCCTAACTTAAGAACTGGCACTTGTACTTGCTATGGTCAATAAAATATATACTAACTAGATTCATATTCTGAGTATCCATCAGAACGTTTCGTACAAATACATTTTTTTCTTTAAAAAATGAGAGCCCATTCATAAAGAGAAATATGGTCTTGAATTGAGGAAAAGGACTACTGGTACATGTGTATCCATGTACTGATATACATACATGTACATATGTGTAAAGACAAAATAAAAAAACAACTATTTTGACATTCAGCTTATGCATGCAGCTGAGAATCCAGGAATCTTGAAAGAAGGGTGCATGTGTGTAGTGTGCGGACGGGGTAGGGGCCAGCAGCAACACCAAAAAAAAGAATGATTTATTATTGTCACATTTACTCTACTTGTATGTTTTTATTTGTATAATACTCAGTTATCCTGTAGGTGACCTCTACTATTTTATCCTTTATGGAGCCTCAATTCTTCAAGTCTATTTAACGGGCACGGTTGAGTGAATCACTCTCTTTTCCTGCCGTGTTACGCTAGAACATGCACGGGTCTTTGATAATTCTGTAAATGTGTGAATTCCATCCTTAGCCAGTTAAATTTGAGACAATGTCAATAATATTTTCTAAGTACAAGTTTATTAGATACAGACACTCAGCTTCTGAGGTGAGTACGAGTTTTATTTATTCTTTCATTCAGTTTTTGTTAATTTCAAGGTCCTGGGTAACTTTGTTCAAATAGCATGTTTTTAATTGTGTTTAATATTCCGTAAATGTTGAAATTGTTCATTATGTTAAGCGTGTTTGTATAGTTTTCGTTTCTATAAATAGTTGTGTTGTAAAAGTTCGCTGGTTTTCAAGTATGGTGTTCCGTTAGTGTAACGTTTCAAAAACGTATCTAGTGTATATTTAAATATATCTCTGCTTGAGTATGTGTAGTGTTGAATAAGTGTAACGAGTAATTAAGTGCAAGTGTGTATAAAAACGCAGTGCTGCTATAGGCTATAGGCTATATGCTGTATGCTGTATGCTAAAAGCTATATGTTATAGGCTATTTGCTATGTGAAAAGTATGGTTAACCATTTGTGTAATAATTTGTGTAGTAACTTGTAGCTTAATATTGTGTATTGTTTCTTTATGAGTAGGTCCCAACCCGAGAGGGGAGTGTGCGCAACGAGGAACACTACGTGTACGATTCCAGTGAATTATTGTAGTTTTAAAAACAGAATATATATTTGAAACTCTTTGGACTTGTGTTTTATTGAGTATTCAATTAGAATGGATAACACGCTTGGTCATCCGGCAACAATTATTCTTGAAAAGTTATGAAATTGGCTTCAACAACAGTTGAGTAGATGAATATGATAAATCATTAAAGAATATGGCATGAAGAAGAGCCTTTCTTGAAATATGACATCATGGTACATTTTTAAGTTTAAAGCAGAAAAGCTTCAAAATGACTCGTTTTTCTGCTAATTTCCGCTTTAAATTTTGGATATATTGTGCAAACAGCCATGAAAAATCATACAGTGTATATCTCAAAATCTTTCCGGGCGTACGGTGGCAGAGTATGTTTTCTAAAAGAAAATTCCACTGAAAATTGATGTCTTCTGCAACTTTTTAAGAAAATACGGGAAAATGCACAAGTTAATGACGTCACAATTAGCATTTACGAGGTCATATGAGAAAAATCATTTGTGTATTCTTACTGCAAAGAATTCATATGATTCAGAAAGAATGAATTTTAATTTCTTAAATCATTTTTCATATTTTAGAAAACTATAGGGCTTTATTTGTATTGAAACTGTACCTTCTTCTTTATTTATTTGATAATTATCTGCTTCTGTGTATCAAGTTAACAGATTAAATGTTAATATGTGTTGAGAAAACATGGCTTTTTCTTTTAAAATACTAGTAGTGACTTTCATTGCCTTTGGTTCAGAATATGAACCCAATATAAAGTTGAAATATCAAACTCAGGTGACCTACAAGGTCTGTGGGCCTCTCGTGCAAGTAATTATTTTCAAATTGTATACTAGTAACATGCATATTTTGGACACTGTCTAGCCTAATTGGGACTTAACAATTATCCTTTTCATGAGGCCTTAACGAAAAGTAGGTCACAACGACCTACATTTGGAATGTCATAACTATATTTTAATAATTATTTCAGATATTAAGTTAATGAAAGTTTATCGTGAATACTTTTTGAATCCTTTAGTTGTATCTTAATATTTAAGATAATAAGAGGATTAGAACTACTTTTTAGTTGACTCAGTTTGTTGAAAGAAAGGTCTCAATGACTTACTTTTGGAATAGTAAAATCTAAAAAATTCAGATGTTTAGAATCTTGAAATCAGTCATCTTTGTCACAAGATGTATCTTTTTCTAGTAAATTTTCTGAATTTTAAACAAATGGAAATATTGAAATATTTTCGTTTGATCGTGTTGTTAATTGACATTTATCGTCTATAATCAGTAAAACATCAAAGTATGGAAAATGTGTCAGACTCTGTGGTATCTTTTAGTATACCAACCGCTTGAAAAGTGGGAAGGTATATGGTAATCGTGATGTCCGTTCGTCCGTCTGTTACGCTTTGGGGCACCAATTTCTTATCCGCAACTCCTCTTATACCACTGAATGAAATTTGATGACTTTCACATAATCTTTATTATATGTGGCCAATGTGACCTCTTATTTATCTTTTTGATCCGACACATAATTTAGGTTTCCCGTAACAAAACATGGACACCGTTTTTTTTAAATTCATATGGGAGGCGGGGTATAATTTAGTGAGCTCATTGCCCACAGTACTTTCGATAAGATGACATTTCGAAAGGTTTACGACAAGGACGACGCCAATATCACCGAAATGACAACAAACAAATTAAAAATCACTTGAGATTTCGACTAGGTG